GCAGACAAACTTATAAGCTCTACATTGCCAGTATGTATGTGGTGAAGATTTGCTGGCCTTTGCTGGAGTGCCACAAATGCAAAGGCCACAACAATTACTAGCATCATGCTTTGTATTTTTACCTTAACCCCTTCACGACAGGTGACGCCACTAGATGTGAAAACAAACCGCTCGAAAAGTGGCGTGCGGTTGTATGCCATGGCGGCGCGCCAAAGGGTGGAGAGCCAGTGATTCGGCCTGATGTACTGAACTCACACGCTCAAAGTCGGCGCGCTGCCATGGTTTGCCAGAGCGTAGAGTGTTTTTTTTTTTTTTTTTCTTCACTCGTCACCACTGGGTTAAAATGTTCAACTATAAGAGCAGGATTGTGTGAAAGTAAAGAATATATATAATGTATAAAACACCACTATCAGGTTTATATGATATTTCAAAAAATAAGGACAAGATAATCATTATTCACCAGCCCTGCTCACATAGCCAAGATCCGCAGTGCCATGGCCTTTGTGCTTTCTGCTCCAGTGAAAGCAAACAAGTCTACAACAGTTATATTCTGCTAAGACAGTGATTGCTGACCTTCCTGATGTTAAATTCTCCCATAAAATAAATAATTCCAAGCTCTATCTTGTCTAATATTTTTGACAAGAGTTTGTTAACTTTTGAATGAGACTGCAACACAGAAGCTACAATGTTGCTTCATGTAGTTTATTCCAAACCATTAGCAAGCTCTCCATCACAGGTATTGTAATAATTATTGGGCAGATTTGGATAGAATTATGACCAAAATTATAGTCTATATAGACGTCTCTCTTTTTTTTGTCAAAACTTCAATTCACAAAAATTAAACTCTGCTTCCTATTACACACAGAAGTTATTCATTACAAATCCAACACTATGTTGCTTTCCTTGAAGAATTTCATAGTGTGAGTACTAGCAGTATTACCATAACTGTACCGTGATATACATAATAATAACAAATGACTGAATTATACCTAAACTATGATAATTATAAGATAACGATGATAAAGCTAACACTGCTCTCTCTATGGATTAGTTACGTTACTCCCAGGTCACTAAAAAGGTATTTCTTTTAACTAATGTAAATCTCCTTACCCCTTGTACGTGTAGTCATATAAATAGACACTTATTTTCTTCTTTTCGAGCGAGTTTAGGCTTTAAACCTGTCCATTTCCCCCAAAAATAAGGACTTTCGTGTTTCCTGTGTCACCAACACAATTCAACTCCATGTTTGTCTTCCTTTAAAAATATTATCCGAGCGAAATGTGGCCCGCTTTCCCTTATCCTACTCACGAATGATTTTCTGGATTATTTTTGTTATTATTAAAGAAGATATGAAGGAATTCTCATACAGGATGTAATGTTCGCAAGGGACCAAAGGTTATAACTTCAAGTATCATCATTAGAAAAAGGCAAACAAGCTTATTTACATACAAGTAACAGTGATGACGAAGTTATTTCATACATGCAAGTGTAGTGATATATATGATGATTGGTGGTAAGTATGTACATGTGTGGACATGAATGTATCTACTTGTATATGTATATATTCTCTTTATCTATCAACCTCTTTATCTATTAATCAATACCACCTAATCCTTTGCTCGTTGGTGTCGTTGGGGGGGAGGGGGGCTATGGAGACGGAGACTGGGGCCAAATGTAGCGGATCACCTCTTCTTCATCCCCTTCTTCTGCCCACTTCCTAAGGTGCGAGAGCCGTGCTGAAAGGATGAAAGGCTGGCTTTGTGTCAGTCATGATCGGCCTCGGCCATGGGCCCTTACCCTGCATGGACCCTGAGGGATAGACCGTTTCTTCTCCCCATTTATTCCAGGCTCAACATGGCCAATAAGGAAGATTTTTTGCCCTTATTAGGGCCAATAAGGCTTGTTACTCCATCAACTAGCCGCTCTAAATTTGATTTCATTGGTTTTGAGAACCCTGTTTCTCCTCTATCCACGTCTCCGACCACTGGTACTAATACCCCCTCCTCGGTGTTTTCTGTCAACTCTATTCATTCCGAACCATCTACCCAGGTCATTACTCAACCTTCTGAATACACCCCTTCCTCTCTCCCAACATCCTCCACTCCAGCTCCTACTGTACAGTCTTCTTCATTGTCTACCCCCACCCCCCTTCATACTACTTTTCATCCTTATTGTCCTCCTGCCAACAACACTAACTTTCTCCCTCGTCCTACTGCTTCCATCTCTGCAAACCTTTTTGAGTACCCTTTTTGGCCCGAGCAAATGGGCTCGATTCTTTGCGATTCCCCATACAGCCCCGTATTCTGATAATACCCTTCTTCAACATTGTTTCCCAAAACAAGTAAGTTGAGTTTTCTTTCGCAGTCGTTCCCAGGGTCCCCTAGGTCGTGCACTCTCTACAAACCTATTCCTGCCAAACCTCACTCTTCCCTTAATACTTGTACCGGAACTGTTTCTGTTTCCCCGACTGATTGTCCTGTCAGTGGCAAGGACTGGTTAGAATGTGAGTGAGTGACATTTGCGAAGTCTAGCTTCACCCAGGCCTTCCATATGAAATGGCCTGTGTTAGCTGTTTATGGCTGTCTCAATTGATTCTCTGGCTCTTATACTTACCGTGATGGCCGGATTTGTGAAAACGACTTGCTCGCATGCCTCGTCGACTATGATACAGTAGCAGTTCAGTGCTACACTATTCCTCCCAAAGGCCATCGTAAGCTCTACACCAATGTTGCCAAGAATAGCTTCCGTAGACATGACCTTCCTCTGAACTTTAGGCTGGTGGGGTGTCCTGCCCTGTCCAATCATATCGACCTCTTCACCGTCAATGTAAAAATTATTGGTGTTTTGGCCACCCAGCCAAATACTGTCGCTGCACATCCCGCTGCCCTCTATGTGCCCAACCTGGTCATAACCGTTCAAATTGCTCTGCTCAGTCACGCACGTGTGTCAGTTCTGATGGTTCCCATAATGTATTTTACAGGAGCTGCCCTGCCTACAAGCTCGAATCTGAGGTAGTCGACGAGGTTTTTCTTTTTCTACCTATTCCAAAACTGTACTTCGTTTTGCTCCCCTGACATCTCAAGAAGTCTCAGCATCTCCCAGTTTCTCTTCCCTCTACCCCGAACCATCCTCCCCACCCAACTCCCCACCAGAAACTCTTGAAGACACCCAAAACTTCCAAACATGACCCAAGAGAATGCTCCACTCCCTCATCTACCCTCTAATACTGCTACTCCTATTCGTTCTACATTAAAAGTATTTACCGATATGTACCCTCCTCCTTCCTAAGTTCCCTCTCCCCCTCTTCCTCCCACTCTCCCCAAAACACCCCATTCTCTCCTCCTCCATGTGCATCACCATTCCCCCTTTCTTCCCCAATATCCTTATCACTCCCACCTGAATGGTCACGTGACTCTCTTATGTCACAACAATGTTCTTCTCCGGATCCCCCCCCCCCCCTGACATTCTTCCGGATACTTCACCCTTCCCTGTTCCTTAAATCTCATTCTCTGGATTCTTTTCCTTTTCCCGCAACTACTGTTTCTTGCCGTATTACCTTTTCGTGATGTTTCTTTACTTCATAATAGTAGCATTACTATTTATATGGATATTGCTAGCAATATCGTTATCCTAAAGGGGAAATGCATAAACTATTATAACTGAAAATCATTAACCTTTTCTGTTTACAAACCAAAACAAAATTGTACAATAATCTACGGATGTCCATGTCTAATACATATACATCTACACCTTATAACCACGTATGCGTTCGCAATATCTGACAGTTTTTGATAGTGCAATTATGGAGGACCAAGTATATATGTACCTTTGCTGGCCCCGAAAGTGGTACCTAAAGAGAGAATTGGGCCTCGAAAGGTTCTGAATTTGACATCCATGAGCTAGCCCCGGGGTTCCCAACCTTTGTACCCGTTAGACATTTTCATAGATTCGCGTGTAACCCTAAAATTTAGGTAAAAAGGCGAAAATAATATTTTGATGTTTCATCGTGAAATATGCATTTTAATCTTAATGGCTATGTCATCAATAAGATAAAATAGGTAATTCATAAAATATTTTGATCAATCACATACACGCGGGAAGTTTTCATTATTGCAATAAAACATGTGGTATTCACTCTATTCTTGATATAACTGAAGTAAAAGTTTTGCTCACAAAAATTAGGAAAACACACATTGTTCAATCTGAATGTAAATTACAATATCATGTATTGCACGGTAATGATTATGCTCTCAAACATAATGTACCCACTGGAATGTGAAAATGTACTACTTGGGGTACATGTATCCCAGGTTAAGTACTGTATGCGGCCAGAACATATATATACATATATATATATATATATATATATATATATATATATATATATATATATATATATATGTATATATATATATATATATATATATATATATATATATATATGTATATATATATATATATATATATATATATATATATATATATATATATATATGCATATATATATATGTATATATATACATATATATATAATTGTATGTGTGTATATGTGTAAGATTTGTTCTGCAATTTTTTTTAAATAGAAGTGAGGTTTTCTCACCAAATTTTCAAACCTTTTCCGCTCAAAATCCAAAATCTGACGATTTCAAACTCAACTGGAAAACTGCATGTTACACGATTTCTTTCTCAAATCTAAGAAATCATGGATTACGCTAATCAGGTAATTGTATTTGTTAATTTGCTCTAATTATCATTTACTCTGTTTTTTTTTAATGTTCTTGTAAACAATATATTTTTTCCTTATCCGTGCTATGAGGAAGGGGCGGAATCGAGTGAGGATAGGACAAGGATACTGTGAAAGTACATGAGAGTGGCCAGAGAAAAACGATTCAGGATATTATAATCATATCATTGTTGATATTAGCAGTAGATCTATCCTATTTGTTATTTATTAGCATTCATTTATTACTAGTTAATCGGTATAATAATAAAAATAAAAATGTCTAATACTTCCTTTATTAATTGTGTAAATATACGTTCTCAAACACAGCGTTACAGATTACTACAATGTTACATAAATTATGACAGAAAGGTTATGAGAAATACTAATAATCTTTAACAAACTGGAGAGCATGATTAAGCACAGAAGCTCATGGTAATCATATTTTCAAATATTCTGATCATATGGTGCAAAAGCAAAACAAAATATATAAACAATGACTACACGTTACTGTTATTAGATCACCCTGTATTTATTAGAATTTAATATACTGTAGGTCAGGAACATATCCGCTAAATATTTGTTAAAGTAATATGAACAGGTTCCCTTGGCATTAATGACAGTGGCAACTAGCGCCGTCCTTGTCAGTTTATTGAAGGTACATGTCAATGCAGCCAGGTAAGCGACATTTGTAGAAGCGCTCACGGTACAGCATTTTGTTATTCTTAGTAGGCATGTTCTTCCAGAATTCACGGATCTGAAACAGACAATAAGGAGGAGGATTACCTTTTATTTGTGGCGAGACGGTGAGAAGAATGATCGCCTTTTGAACAGTGACGTGGGCAGAATTCTCAAGTGGGCGCGAGGGCTCAGGTGAAAACGGGTGCCTTATTTCCCTAGTTTTGACCAATAGGGTACTTTTGGTATGAACAGGATAGGCACTCAAACAACCACATACACATCCCTACATTTGGATAGTAAACAAGATGACCTAACTTTCTTTTCCGGAGGCGTTTATAGGGACGCTGGTCATGCTCTCTTGCCCTGTTTTTATCTCAATATTCCGTAAGTGCCTGTAGATCTAAATACCTATATAAAAAAAAGCCCATAAGGTATAGACCGCTATGATAAATTACTTAGGTAACTTTCAGCAATCACCCTCTTAAAAATCTTGGATTCAACTTTTCCTACATAAGCCAACGCATTTTTCCTCCGCAGTGCAAGCGATTCAATACTCCACGCCACTGGCCTTAAACTCTTTTGACAATACGGGGAAATGAGAACAATAGCATATATGATACAATACCTGGCAGTCTTCGAAGGTCTTCATGGTGGGTGAGGAGGTGATGGACAGGTAGGAGTCTGTCGGGAAGGACGTCGGGTTCCACTTGAAGCCGAGGGACAGGTCGGGTGTCGGGTTTCTGGAAAGGAGAGAGAATCCGTGAAAAATGGAGGAGGTGATTGGAACACACGACGAGTAAACACGGGGTACCTGTGATGAATAATCGAAATCGGTTTAGGATACCAAGATCATAATATTGCAGTTACTATTCGATGAGTAAAGAAAGATTATCTGTGACGGATACTCGAAATCAGTTTATAAATATTGAGATCATAGCATTCTAATTATTATTCGAACATATATAATGACTAAAGAAAGACTATTTGTAATGGGTAATCGAAATTAGTTTATAAATATTGATATCATGGTACTGCAATTGTTATTGGATCATACACACGGCTTATTATAAGTTCCCAGCGTTGATGACTTAGACAGATAGTGGAAAGAGCTCCCTCATATTTACACAAAACAGGAAACTGAGATATTTTTGCCCATTACCCGACGGTAGCGAAGTTGGTCCACAGCTCCACCATGATACGGCTAACGAACAGATCCTCGTCTTGCTTCAACGTTTTATTGCCTTCTAGATCACTGAACAGGTACAAAAGATCATCTGCATGACCGATATCTGAACGGGGAAAAATATTACACTGGATAATTAGTCAACTTCTACAATAATAGTGTCTTGACAACCTGTGTAATCGATCATCAAACACTGGAATTCATTATATTTGTACCACTATAATAGAACAATATCAGCAATCATGTAACCAACTCTCTCTTTCAGAACTGGGTTGAAAGAATATATTTACATCGATTGTACCAATCCGGAGTAGTAGGGAAAAGACCAAAGACAAACTGGTGTTCTCCGTCATGCTGCAGTCTGTATGTAAACACGTTCTGGTGAGATGTCCTGAGGTGTTGCCCGACCGCGTCCAGGTGACACATGTCGAATAATCTATCACTGAAAAGCTGGGACATTTGGTGTTCTCATTAGAAAAAAAATAGGATGTATGTATTTTTTAATACCCTACTTCGATTATTGTTGTCATTCGAATGTATCTTTAAAGGACTGCATGTTTTGAGAATAAGCACTACATGATACAGCTGGAAAAAGATCTAATTTACTTATTTCTCCGTGAAAAGTATAATCAAATAAAAACTAAATGATTTTTTTTTTTATATCCACTAGTTTGCTTAATATTTTGTATAAATAGGTCAAAAAGTGATTAAGTATATGGGAACAGTATAGAGTACTTAGATTAGTGGTTTTATTTTCATGATTGCATGTAAAATATTTATTCGGATCTCTGCTTATACTGGAACTTGTCTAACTGGACCTTTGCTCATTACAGATGTGTAGGCCTGCTATAAGCCACCAATATCAACATTGTTATTACCCTCATCGCCACCAGCTCTTTACCCTGATAAGTGAATCCCGTTTCTCTTCCGTAAATTCAATGGCGCCCAGGTAGTGGTGGTAAGCTCGACGTGCCAGGTACTCCGGATCCTCTTCCTCTTCGAACATCAGTGAAACCGGTCCGTTGACAGTGAAGTTCTGAACCAGGCTGTTTGCAGTGGCATTGTCCAGGTTGAAAACTGGTTGAAGGCAGATATAGGTGGTTAGTTGTTTCTGGGTGAGGTTGTCGTGGTAATATATTTTACAATGTCAGTATAAGTAGGTAAATGGTAAAAGAAATGTGAGTTTACAGTGTATGACAATTATGAGAGATAAAACGCTCACGAGAATGAAGTCCTGAGTGATGATGGTGATGGTGATGATGATGATGGTGATGATGATGATGGTGATGATGATGATGGTGATGATGATGATGGTGATGATGATGATGGTGATGATGATGATGGTGATGATGATGATGGTGATGATGATGATGATGGTGATGATGATGATGGTGATGATGATGATGGTGATGATGATGATGGTGATGATGATGATGGTGATGATGATGATGGTGATGATGATGATGGTGATGATGATGATGGTGATGATGATGATGGTGATGATGATGATGGTGATGATGATGATGGTGATGATGATGATGGTGATGATGATGATGGTGATGATGATGATGGTGATGATGATGATGGTGATGATGATGATGGTGATGATGATGATGGTGATGATGATGATGGTGATGATGATGATGGTGATGATGATGATGGTGATGATGATGATGGTGATGATGATGATGGTGATGATGATGATGGTGATGATGATGATGGTGATGATGATGATGGTGATGATGATGATGGTGATGATGATGATGGTGATGATGATGATGGTGATGATGATGATGGTGATGATGATGATGGTGATGATGATGATGGTGATGATGATGATGGTGATGATGATGATGGTGATGATGATGATGGTGATGATGATGATGGTGATGATGATGATGGTGATGATGATGATGGTGATGATGATGATGGTGATGATGATGATGGTGATGATGATGATGGTGATGATGATGATGGTGATGATGATGATGGTGATGATGATGATGGTGATGATGATGATGGTGATGATGATGATGGTGATGATGATGATGGTGATGATGATGATGGTGATGATGATGATGGTGATGATGATGATGGTGATGATGATGATGGTGATGATGATGATGGTGATGATGATGATGGTGATGATGATGATGGTGATGATGATGATGGTGATGATGATGATGGTGATGATGATGATGGTGATGATGATGATGGTGATGATGATGATGGTGATGATGATGATGGTGATGATGATGATGGTGATGATGATGATGGTGATGATGATGATGGTGATGATGATGATGGTGATGATGATGATGGTGATGATGATGATGGTGATGATGATGATGGTGATGATGATGATGGTGATGATGATGATGGTGATGATGATGATGGTGATGATGATGATGGTGATGATGATGATGGTGATGATGATGTTGGAGATGATGATGATGGTGATGATGATGATGGTGATGATGATGATGGTGATGATGATGATGGTGATGATGATGATGGTGATGATGATGATGGTGATGATGATGATGGTGATGATGATGATGGTGATGATGATGATGGTGATGATGATGATGGTGATGATGATGATGGTGATGATGATGATGGTGATGATGATGATGGTGATGATGATGATGGTGATGATGATGATGGTGATGATGATGATGGTGATGATGATGATGGTGATGATGATGATGGTGATGATGATGATGGTGATGATGATGATGGTGATGATGATGATGGTGATGATGATGATGGTGATGATGATGATGGTGATGATGATGATGGTGATGATGATGATGGTGATGATGATGATGGTGATGATGATGATGGTGATGATGATGATGGTGATGATGATGATGGTGATGATGATGATGGTGATGATGATGATGGTGATGATGATGATGGTGATGATGATGATGGTGATGATGATGATGGTGATGATGATGATGGTGATGATGATGATGGTGATGATGATGATGGTGATGATGATGATGGTGATGATGATGATGGTGATGATGATGATGGTGATGATGATGATGGTGATGATGATGATGGTGATGATGATGATGGTGATGATGATGATGGTGATGATGATGATGGTGATGATGATGATGGTGATGATGATGATGGTGATGATGATGATGGTGATGATGATGATGGTGATGATGATGATGGTGATGATGATGATGGTGATGATAATGATGGTGATGATGATGATGGTGATGATGATGATGGTGATGATGATGATGGTGATGATGATGATGGTGATGATGATGATGGTGATGATGATGATGGTGATGATGATGATGGTGATGATGATGATGGTGATGATGATGATGGTGATGATGATGATGGTGATGATGATGATGGTGATGATGATGATGGTGATGATGATGATGGTGATGATGATGATGGTGATGATGATGATGGTGATGATGATGATGGTGATGATGATGATGGTGATGATGATGATGGTGATGATGATGATGGTGATGATGATGATGGTGATGATGATGATGGTGATGATGATGATGGTGATGATGATGATGGTGATGATGATGATGGTGATGATGATGATGGTGATGATGATGATGGTGATGATGATGATGGTGATGATGATGATGGTGATGATGATGATGGTGATGATGATGATGGTGATGATGATGATGGTGATGATGATGATGGTGATGATGCTGATGGTGATGAAGAGGAGGAGGATGATGATGATGAAGATGATGATGGTGATGATGATGATGATGGTGATGATGATGACGCCACCGGTACAACTACTTATGATAATAAAAATAACACTACCATCATTGCTGCTAAGTATGATGATGCTTATGATAATGATAATAAAAATGATGGCGATGGTGATGATGGTATGAGACTTTGGAAAACAAAAGATAGAAACATTGCCCTGCATTAAAAAAATAGAAAAATGGCTATTATAGAAATAAGAGATAGAATTTTCGTAAGGGAGCTATTGCATGGCTAGAAAATGGCAGTCAAATTTCGAAGGGTTAGAGTTACATAGACCAAAATACAAAACTTAACTAAGAGCAAAATAACACATGTTGTTTTAGCCATAAATCCTTTTTTGTTTATTTATTTATTTATCTAACATTATTATTATCATTATTATTATCATCATCATCATTATTATTATTATTATCATTTTAGATGGTCTCTAAATAAACTTCGTAATGGAATAATTGGAACTCCCCAATGCCTTCGTAAAACCACCTGTATTTTTAAAAAGATATATGATATTAATAAATCAATACATAGACTCACAACGAATTCCTTCTGGGCTGAAATTAATCCTTCGTAAGGGACATTCCTCAAACAAGCGACGAAGGCTGAACTGCTGGTGGACTGCTGATCATCCAGACCTGAACAGTTGAACATCTGACCAATCTTAGCGGCTACCTGTCTGTGGTTTTCTGCAGTAGCCCACGGACACAGTGATGTCCCCGACTGCAGGATAGCTCGCCGGAACAGTCCTGGTGAGGGATGAATTTTATATGAATGTAGGTTGAAGAAACGAAGGGGTATAAACGGAGTCTTTAATTATAATTACTTTGGTATGGCATCTCGGTGTCCCGAAATAGGGCTAAAAAAGCAGACAGCCGCTAAAGGATTAAGTCACATATCAGACTTTAATTTGTGATGACGTTGGTGACAGAAAACACAGTGCACAAAATATGCTCAATGAATGATGAGACATGTGTATACAGATATTTTCTGCAACTGTACCAAAGCAATCGAGTGTTCTGCCATTCAGCCGAATTAACTTAGGTTTGTATCCCCCTTATAGAGATTGCTCTGCCTCACCTGAAGACATGGGAGACAGGACGTGGAAATGCACTGACGCTGCACCAGCGCTTTCTCCGAAGAGGGTGACCTTGGCCGGGTCTCCGCCGAGGTCACGGATGTTGTCTTGCACCCACAGGAGAGCCATCGTTTGGTCCTTGAGTCCTAGGTTGCCAGGCAGCTCACTGTCCTCAGTCGACAAGAATCCTGCAAGTTCACAGCGGTTTCAGGAACACGAATCATTACTGTTCAAGTGAAACAGTAGAATCAATCGAGAGAGCATATGCACAAAGAACATGACAACCGAAGCCTAGAATCGTCTCGCTTGGCCTATCGAAAGTCACTAGGCCTATTTAAGGATACCTACCCAGCGTGGCCAGGCGATACTGTATGACCACGAGGACCACATCCTTCGTGAGGAGAGGAAGGGGCCCGAAGACCTCGCCGTTACCGTTCGTGAATCCTCCGCCGTGAATCCACACCATGACAGGCAAGTCCGACGCGTAAGGCTGGGAAAGCGATCGCGTAATTAAGTTATGCAAGAGGAGTGGGAAGTGATAACAGACCAATCAAATGTCTTCGTTATTTTTGCTAGTTGTAAAAGTTGCCTTCTTCTTTATTTTTTGCTAGTTTTGAAAAAGAATGGGTTTTTGAATCTCGTTATTCCTTATAACATTATTTAAATTAATGACATACCGCCCGCTGGATAATCCAAATCATATGAAATTTTTACGCCTTTTTTATCATTTTCCAAGATATATTGGATTAAAAAAATAATTGTAAGATCTGCTACATATGGCTTACTATGACTTACCCGAGGTGTGTAGACGGAGAGATAGAGACAGTCTTCCTTCCCCTCAACAGTAGCATTTCCCAACTGTGGGCATTTCGGTGTGGCGATGGATCCATTTCTTACTCCCGTCCATGGCCCTGCAGGAACAGGATCCTTGCGAAGAAAGGGCACGGTATTATTCGTATCTCAATATTATATTAATCCATCTATCTCTATAACAGACTTCTATAAATATCTGAGGCATAAGGGATATATAAGAACACTATGAATACGTCACTTCTACTGACAGA